ACAGCATGCAATCCCTAAGAGGTGACGCTTGAATTGCGACATAGCTCCAGTTACATGTACAAACCTGGGTAAAGGGTTCCAGTTTCCGGGAACAGCAAATGCTAAAAGACTTCACTAAGTAAAAGAATTTCCGTCTATTACAGGAACAGAAAAGAGTAATGGGTAACTACAGCACCACCCTCAGGAAGAAGAGAGATGTGAATCAGCTTGATGAGGAAAGCAGAGCTCAGGTTGCTGTGAGGAGTTCGCATTTTATTGTAAATGCAACGGTAAACCATTGAACTTCAGAGATTAACAACATAAAACAAAACCATAAGCTTTTGAAGATATCATTGTGAATTATTTGGTGGAAGATTTTTTTCATCATAAAATCTAATATTTTTTTCCATATTCTATCTCATCCCTGAAAATATGAGATCCCAGTTATGAAGTTAAATAGTTATCATTTGAAAGGATATTATTTGGAAAATGAAGAATTTACATTTTGAAATTATTAATTTTTATAGATCATGAATAAGGAACAATAGAGGTGGAAGAAGTAGCTGTGGGGTAAGACGGTTTCAGAAGTTAATTAGTTTTTATTGCCTTGAGATTAAAAAAGCCTTTCTGAAAGAGGAATTAATAATACACATTATTTGATTAAAATGCATTAAGTGTTAATTTTAGTTAACTTGGAAACTATATAAAAGTACAAAGAAGAAAATAATAATGACTCATAATAACATTACTTTTCCATCTTTCCTGATCATTGTAACCTATATTTGACATAGCTGAAGTTCTATAGTCTAGGAAATTTTCCTACCTGATTATTTTCATTTAATATTATATTTTTGGTAGCTTTTCATGTCAATTAGTGTTCTTTGACAATGCCATGTTAATTTTTGCATAATAATGATTCTTGTGGCACTACCATAATTAATTTTATTCATTTACCTGGTTTTGATTTCTTTTTTCCTCTTTAACCTAGAAGGGGTTTACTAGAAACAATTGTTATTCGTGGCATTTTTTTATTTTAAAATTTGTCCCACTACATTAGAAGATGCAGGAGCACTCTGTGGCAAGAAGGAATATAGTATTTCTTGGTGGTAGAACACATTTCTCTTAATTATATTACTAAGCATCACAATGACTAAAACCACAACCTCAACAATGACAATGAAAATGACCAATGGTCCAAACATTGATATGTATGTATTTTATATGTGTCCATCAGAAAAATGTTTTTCTGAGGCTGTTCTCTACACTTACTTCATCTCCAGTGTAGCTTTAAAGCTTATGTTTAGTATGGAATGAGGTGGGCATTGTATATTTGTAGATTCTGAATTCAGAGTGTGGTTCACAACTACCAAGAGAATTCCTATATTTCTGTTTGCCAAGGACTGGTCCTGGGTGTTCATGTAATGGGACACATTTTAAAATAAAAACCTGCCATTAGTAAGATGATCTTTCTGGAGGCAAAAATTAATGCTGGAGTTTTTATTAGAGATATCTAGCTTTGGTCTAAAGGTCAAGCATCATTTGTTTATTCAGCAAATATTATTTATCACCTACTCTTTGCCAAAAAGTGTGATTTCTGCCCTGATGGAGACTCTGTTATAGTAGAGAGATAGATACTAGTCAATTCATCATATAAATAAGGAAATAGTTACAAATGTCTTAGCAAAGACACAGGGTATTGTGAGAAACCTTAACATGGATCCTGTTAATGGGGAGGGTCAGGAAAGTCTTCTCTAAGGGAGTAACATCGGAGCTGTGATCTAAAAGAAAAATAGGGGTTAACTAAGTACAGAGGGGAACCTTGCAGATACAAGGAAAAATAAATGACAGATTCATTGTTTAAATAATAACTGTTATGAATACTTATAAAGATAGTTTTTAACCAGTTCAAACTCCTACTTAAGCTTTCACAGGAGCCTAGTCAGTTTATTAGTCATATTTTACACAATTTACATTAAACTGTGATGTCATTCACTAGGCAACCATCACTTACTCCAAACAGTGACATATAAATATTAAAAGAGAATAAAACAGCAGTGGTTTTCAGTGTTCTCTTATTTGAAGCGACTAAACCTGTTCTTCATTTAAAAGAATAAAGACCTCTGCTTTGCACAATATTACATGTTACAGAGCATAAAATAATAATTGTAGGGAGTGGGGAAGTACAAACACAGAATTACCTACTGCTTTTAAGGTAGTTTTTAGCTACAAAGACAGGTTATCTTACCTTTTGCCCACACCAATTTATCAAATCAATTGGAAAGAAGATACAATAGCAAGTTTTAACCAAAGATAAGTGGCATCCAGAAATATGATCATGGTCATCATCAACACCAAAAATTCTGTGGTATACATTTTAACCAAAGTATTCAAAACTGCCAATAAATAGTAGGAGTAACAGTAGTGGTAGTAGTGGTAATAATTGATATTTATTATGAGTTTACCACGAACTTACCAGGCTATTGCTCTATCTCTAGTATTTTTTATTTCTGTCCAAGATAGCTGTTAGAATCTCTGCTTTACAGACAATAATGGCATAAGTTCAGAGAGGGAAGTAACACAGTGAACAACAGAGTAAGGATTTAGCCTTGTTCTGCTCTCTGTTCTAAACCAATACTGCTTGGACCCAGTGAACTTGCTTGAGTTCAGGTTCTGAAAATATCAGTGTCTATCTGAATGATTCTCTTATTATTTTCATAGCAATAGAAATAGTAAGCACAGTAATACTTTTAATCATGATTTTGCTAATCCTTCAAATTCTAACTGGTTCTAACAATCCCTAGAAAAGGAAGAACATTTTCAAAATAAAAACAACAGTTAAAAGAGACGATAGATCCTACTTTCAATGGGATAAGTCACTGAGCCAGAAAGGAGAGAATTAGAAATGGAATGCAACAGAAACATCATAATGTACCATAAGGATTTATTGGCAGCAAGGGTAATATCCAATTCAAAATAATAGATATCTTCTACTAAAAAAAATACATATATAATATCTTTTCATCTGGAAAGTAGCAGAACCAAAAATTAAACCCATATGTCTAATCTGGGTATTCTGTTCCTATCTATGCCATTAGCAAATTTTTTAGACTAAATGACACTGAATTTGGCATGAGGTCATCTCCATGTTGATTCCAGTAGAAATAGGTGAACCAAACCTCTTTTATGCATACAACTTTAATGATGCCTAGTAGTTTAGTCTGGATAAGGGAATAGATGAAAATATACTTACATTTAAAGAAAGAAAGAAAAAACGAACACTGACAAAATTCTGCTTTCCCCTTGGTAAAATAAAATATAGTCAAAAAATTTATAAGAAGATATATTTATAATCATAATAATGATGTTAGGATGTTTTACCTCCATCTCTTGAAAAACATTAGTGAAGAAAAGAAATTGTTTCATCTTTTTTTGTTTCTACAACAAACAATACGAAATGAGACGGGTATTCATGCCAGTTTGATTTAATAGTTCCCTCTCTGTCACAGTATGCTACAACATCCTGCCAATTCTGCCTGTGATAATAGGGGGACACAAACACACACACACACACAGAGCACATGCGCAAGAGACAGGAGACACATCATGGATCAAAGGCCTGAATAGCTCCACTTAGGAAAAATAAAAAGCAACTATTTCACTGGCAGTCCCAGAAGTCTGAAAGCTAGTTTGATAGGTTTAGTGTGTCAGGAAGAGAAAAATTTCAAAGATTTGTGTGGCCGGAAGGGAAGAAAGAAAGGGAACTTCAAAGACTGCACGGAAGGGGGGGGAGTGACATAAGCAGGCCCAAGCTGTAATCTCTAAGCTTGCCCCGCTCCAGGAAGTGCAGGTAGAGCACGTTAAACAGTACACAGAAGACATTTGCAGTTTCCCATTCAGGGCACATTTCATACGATTGCAAAAAGCAGCTTACGCCTGAAGTACAAGCCTGTACATTCCTAAGAAGTGTGTGTGTGTGTGTGTGTGTGTGTGTGTGTGCGTGGATAACTGAGCAGATCCTTGTAAAGATTTTTCATCATTAAACTGTTAAAATAGTTATATACCATAAAAAGAAACCTTCCTGTCTACTCACCCAGGGCCCACTACTAACTCAGGCCTCACACTCCGACTTATGTTTGAAAATGGGCTTTTTGTTTCAACAGTGCTACATAATTAATTGCAAAGGAAACTTACCCCAGCAATCTACCTCTATTAATCAACATAGACTTTTATTCATAAATGTAATCAGTTAGTTTTTAGGATCACCAGAAATTTTAAGAAAGCAAAAGAGAAGATCAAGATGAACAAACAGAACTGATCCCAAAGGGAACAGATAATGTAAGGAACAAAAGGCAAAACAATTAGGGGAGAGACAAGATGGCTGACCAGAGACACCAGCTGCCAGCTTGTCTCAGAAAGAAGGAGAAGTTGGAGATGAAAAAGAAAAAACAAACAACAAACACAAATCAGGTGTAACTGCAAAAGAAAAGTGCCAGAACCTACTGGACATTCCATGGGAAAAGTTGCAGAGCAGAACAAGAAGGACAAAGATATCAGCAGAGATCAAACACCGAGAGAGGCTTGGAGTCCAGCAAGAAGGGCAGGTGGAGTTGTTTAGTTCTCCCTCCTCACATCCCTGGCAGTCAGCAGGCTCCCAAATGCTAGAGAGCCTTTCTACCCTCACGAGCCCAGAAGCTGCTGCTGCCAGTGAACTGGGAGCTTTCTGAGGACAAAGCGCCAGGCTGCCAGTGCCTTTGGGGTGATTCTCATTACCACAAATTCGAGCCAAGATGGCAGGTGCCATATTCCTTTTCCATACACCTATGCCTTCGATCTCTCCAGGGGGCTTCAGCCTCTCAATTTTTGTCTCATTTGTTCCCACACAATTATTTCCCAACTCTGGTCCAGACTGCAGGAGCTACTAAGGGCCGGTGGGTCCCAGGGGATCTGTGTGACCCCAGAGCTTGGACATTCTGGGTGGGCTGCCTTCTAGAGAGGGACAGAGATGACCAGTGTGCCTGCCATCTTGGTGCCTGCCATCTTGGCTCGAGTTTGTGGTAATGAGAGCTCAATCTTCTCTCTGGGTAGCCACGGGTAGGGGAATGGAAGGGGAGGAAAAGAATCTGAATGAGGCAAAGCTAGCACACTGGTCATCTCTGTCCCCCTCTAAAAGGCAGCCCACCCAGAATGTCCAAGCTCTGGGGACAGAGATGACCAAAACTGCTCTTGGGAGCAGTTGCTTCCCGTCCATTGGTGCACCCATCACACTGAGGCTTCCACAGAGAGTGGGGCTCAAACTTTCCCTCTTAAAGACCTGCCACAGACTAAGGGTTGCTCGGACTGTGACCTCCCTGGGCACCAGCCCTTCCCAGTGCTGCTCGCCAAGCTGCTCCATCAAAGCAGGGTACACCCTGAAGCCAAAGCGGAGGGACATCAAACTGCTTGAGCAGCCCATAGGCAACTTGTGACCAGCATGCTTCTCCCCAGCACAGTCAGGGATTGATTTTTGGGGACCCAGGTACTGGCCCACAAGCCAGATCTTGTACCCTCAGGACTCAATCATGTTGCTTAGGGGCATGGAGGGGAGATTTTGAACTAATCTTGGGAGGTGAGGGAGCCACATGGGCAAAACTGAAAAGAGAGTGCTGCATAAGCCCTAGTGGGAGCACACTTGTGGAGCACCCCTCACCCCACAGTGAGGTCATGCTCCCAGCCCAGGGTGGGATCCTGGGCAGGGAAGCTCCCAGCCCACAAAGCCATCGTGGGGGGGCTCAACTGGTTTGAACTCCTATTTGCTGGCAGATTCTGGAGGGAGACTACAGAGTAGGGGACAGAGAGAAGAGTGAAAAGTCAAACTCTAATCAGAGTTTGATGCAGCCGGGCATGCCTTCCTTCTCAGAAACTTACAAGCTCCTGACTTCTTTCCCTGTGCCGTTGACCTCTATGTCTGTCTCTTTGGCTTATCTTTAATTTCTTTACATCTTGCATTCTCTCTGATGTCTTCCTTTTCTCTTCTCTCAGCTGATCTCATAGTTCCCTTGGTGTGACCACTATAGATATGCCATCAACAGCCATATCTATATTTCTGGTGCAGACTTCTCTAAACTACAGACTTACACATCCAATTTCTTCTCAACTTACATATTTTACCAACATTTAAAACTTTAAATGTCTGAGACATGAAATACCTGGTCCTCACCTGTACACCAAACCTTCTCTATCTCAGTAGATGAAATCACAATCTACCCAGCTGTTCACACTAAAAAACTAGGAGGCATAATTGATTTCTCCCTTTCCCATACCCTCTATATTAACTCTATTAGCAAATCTTGTTGATCCTTTCTCTAAAATATACTTTCACTCTGCCTACCTTTTTGCCATCTCTTATAGTACAATCAATTACAGTGACTTGTCGTGTTATAGTCTATTTCAGTTACATTGTGATTTTCATAAGCATGATCTCATTTAATCCTAATAATGTGATAAGACCTAGTAAGAAAATATAGTCTTATTCAAGGTAAATAATTTGAACAAGTCCATACACTATGTTGGTGTAGATGAAATGCAAAACCAGTGATTACACATATTTGAACAAGTGACAACTAGCATTTTGATTACCTGCTGTGTGGTATTTCCCATATTTTATCATATTTAATCTTTATCACCAGAAAGTATAATCATTTCCATATTACAAATAAAGGCTCATAAATAACCTGTTAGGTCAACTGCCCCAAATTACAGAGTTCTCTTTGCTCCCAGTCTCAACTTCCTCCTTTCCATCCTTCTCAATATCACCAGAGACATTTGTCAAACACACAATTCTCGTCATGTCATTCCTCTGTTTAAAATTCTTTAATGGCTCTGAATTGTCTGCAGAATAAAGTTCTTATCACAGCATTTTATGACCTGGCCCTTGCCCACCTTTCAAACTACATTTGCTCCTGCTTCCCACCGTACCTCCTGGATTCCAGCCATATCAGCTGCATTACAGGTCAAATTTGAGCAGGCTCTGCTCTTTCTTTTCTCTCTGTCGTTATCTATGCTGTTTCTTATGCCTTTAGTATTCTTCTAGCATATGGTGGACATGGTTGCCTTGCTACCGTCTATTTTTGTTTCTTTCAGTAGTTATTCCCATTTTCGTTTAAATATCCACATTTCCCTTGTTCTATGCTTTGAAGTTGGTTGGGCTCTAGCTAATCAGTGTGATTTTTCCACCCTGGTTACAGTTATTCATTCAGATAACCCAATCAGAGCCCCATGAGACATAAGGTGGGGACTATATTTTTAAAATGTCCCGACTCTTCTGAGAGGGTTCTAGAATTGACGCTCTCTCACCACTGATGTGTAACCATCTTATAAATGTGAGGGAGAATAAAACTTAAACTGAAGCTTAACGTTCTGGAAAGCAGAGGAAAGAAAGGGAGATGTAAGGTCCTCAATGACGTCACTGAGCTGAAGAAACAAACCAACACTGAAGATCACTTTACCTCTGGACTTTTCAGTTATGTGCACCATTCTACAACATTTTTGACAAATTTTTCTGCTACTTGCAACTGAAAGCAACTAAATTGCTATAGCACATTTTATCATGTAAATGATTTCTACTAAAAATAGGCCTTCCTTAATCTCTCAAAGTATTTTTCCTCTGTAATCCTGAAATTCCTTCTGTATACTACTATCTAAGCCCATACTACATTCATTTAATTTTATTCTGTTTTTCCATAAAACCAAACACCTTAAGGAAAGGAGCTCATGTTATTTGCTGCTCTGAGTTTGTTATAAGGCTGAATATGTTCAGAAACAACCCACTCTTTCTCCAAGAAAAAACTCTTTCTTTAATTCAGGGTTTCTCGACCTCAGCATTATTGGTATGTGGGGCCAGATAATTCTTTGTTGTGGAGTATCGGGTGCAAAGTATGTTTAGCAACACCCTACCCACTACATGCCTGTAACACCACCTACCCACCCCCACATTGTGACGATCAAAAATGTCTCCAACAATTAACAAATACCCCCCCTGGGGGGTAAAATTATTCCCAGTTGAGGATTACTAACTTAATATAATGACCAAGAGTTTACATGTTATTAAAAACATCTTCTTAAGCTTGTAAGCCAATGGCGATTTATAGACGTTAATTCCTACAGGATCATATTATATCCACCCTAAATATAAACAGGAGGAGCTAAGGATTCCGTAAAGGGCAAAGCATATCAGTTTCATGTGAAACTACTGGTTTAGCATGTAATAAAGGAGTGCTAGAGTAAACTCCACCTTTACTGGGCACAGGATGTGATCTCACACACCAAACCTGCTTTTCTCATAAGCCGGTCCCTCTCCAGTAACTTCCCATTCCAAAAAGATGGCTCATTTTTCATCATTGGGAAAGGAAAGACCAAAAAAAAGGAGGAAATGTATTTTATATCAGAACTACTATACTGGGTGTCTGTAACAGAAGAACTTGGCACCAAACTTCTTTTATCACTTCGTCATTTCTTACGCATACCCAATCTATTCCCCAAATGGCTTCTTCCCACTTAGAGTGAGATCTTTCAAACTGTTACAAATTATGAATTTCTTCAGAGGCAAGATGTTTTCACTCAGAGTTAACATGCATGTACTTGAGCCCACACAACCTCCTTGGCCTCAGGCAAGCACTTCTGCCTCAAATACCTTCTCTCACAGACAGGATGGTAAAAACGGAAGTTGTAGAACTGAATGAACCAAGCCAAAAACCTTGTTTGGATGACTAAGTTTTCTGTAATACATAAAGAATTCAGAGAAATAGTCCAATATAAATGCACGTATGATCCGACATAGCATAGTCCCTTATATTTATGTACAAAGCACTTTTGTATTTATACCAAAGCACTACTTGAATATATGATTTTGGTAAATATAAAAATTAATTATTGGAGGTGAAAAAATTATAAACATCCATTTTGATTTTTCTTTTCCTCTCTCTTAGGTTAAAGCTAACACAATGTTTGTCTTTGAATCTAGATACAGTTTTAAATATAATATTAATATGTGTGTGCCTATTAAAACATTTATAAGGCCTCCATTAAAATTCTTGACTCCAAGCATAAGGAAATTAATAAAATCCATATTATTATGTATAAAATGGAATAATTAAGGCTATTAATATGATCAAGAATGATAATGATATATGGTATGGCTCATTTCCCCAGAAACTCCAGGAAACAGTATAATTTGGGGCCATTAATGTAGCCATGGATGGAACTTATATATTCCCTCTATTAAAAAGAGATAAAAAGAGATTTTATATTTTAAAAATTAAGTTGCGACCATAAAATTTTTCTCTACAACCTGGAATGGAAGACTGTAATAGGAATTTCCATGACTTACTTTGTAAAAGGAAATATTCTTTAGAATTAATTTGGGGATTATTAATATAGTAGGAAAAAACAACTGTTTTCTCCTACTGTGCTCTCAACTCAACACAGAACTACTTCTATGACCAGACACATGGATTTTTTTTTTCCACACTGGCTAATTCTCCAACACTTTGGGTAACAAAGTCATATAGCTTGCAAGAAACAAACCACACTCTTTAAAACACACACACACACACACACACACACACACATTCTTTGTATGAAGTAAGGCAATTAGTACCTTGGCCATCAAATACATTCATAAGCTGGAAGTACTGAGTCCTTGTGTTCCATAAAAGATGTATATCATATGTGTAGGTAGCACAAAGCTGGAAATGAAAGTTAATAAAGTTTCAAATGAATTTAGCAAGCTAGAAGAATAAATTCAAAATTAGCGAGACGAAATTATAAGGATGAGTGTAATGGCTTAGATTTCTCTCTTAAAAACATCCATAATAAGTTAGGAATAAGTAATTGGATTATGGCTAAAACCTCTTCTTTCAATAATCATTAATTATGAGCAGTTTACCACTGTCGCTTCATCAAATGGCTTAGGGTATTGGAGTCGCATGGTATCTATAGCATTACCCTCATCTATCAACCTAGTAACCTTAGCAAAAGTAAAACTGATTTGTGTATCATGACCTATTCTGTTGGGATTCACACTCTTTGGGGATTCTCACTGGAAATCCTATTACCTAAATTTTCCTAAGCTATCAATTTAATAATATATTCTAGAAAATTTTCCTGGGGATTAATGTGAAGTTTATTAGTTAGAAATCCCCAAACTCTATCATTTTCCTCTTTTTAAAAAAAACCAGAACCATGTTTCTCTAGACATATGCCATTCCTACACAATTTTCCAAAGACTACCAACAGAAAGCTGTATAGTCACATTTCAAAGTATGCTCAGAAACCAAGGTATAATTTTACTGGATCTGTAGTTTGAATATAACCTGAAGTTATTAGTTATTACTTACTAGATTGGGGAAAAAAAGAAGAAAATTTTAGCACTGTGTAATATGCTTCACATATATTATTTCATTTGATACTATTTTATTAATCCCTCAGTGGGTATTAGTATTTCTACCTGAAAGATGAAGAAAATGAAACTTTAGATACACTCAGCTTGATCAGATCAAACAGTTTGCCTAGGATATGTCTAGTAAGGAATAGATTCAAATCCTGGTTTAACACCAAACCTTGTATTTTTTCCATTATTCTGTAGTGGCATTGCTCCTCTTAGTCCTCTGTCTCAAATTTAAATTTTCTCTTTACAATCACTAATTAACACAACAGCATGTTAGTGTAAATGTCTTTCTCTCAGAAGATGAAAGCAAAATGATTAGGAAGTAGTTTTGTTTTCTTTCTGTGATCTGTTAAGTTTAGTTCTCCATCTCTACCTAATTATTCTTATTCTGAACATTACTAGCAAAAGAGAAAAAAGAAAGAAAGAAGAGTCAAGAAATTAAGAAAAATCATGTTTATCATAATTTTGCAATTCTCCATTGATTATGAACTTCAAGAAGCCATAGACATATTCTCCCAAATTCCATGTTATTCATATATTTCTTAACCAGTTATTCCTTGTCATAATTAAACCCAGAGAAAGAGTTTAAATAGAAATATGACTTCTATTTAAGACATAAAATTTTTAGAACAAGTCACAAATTTTCACTAACTCAACTTTTACTCTAATCATAATAACATGAACTATCTGGTTAGTAGAAATCACCCATAAACATTATATCTTATTTATAAACAATAGTGCGTGGCAGTCAGAACACATTAATGTAGAGTCTGTTTCAAAGTCATCTTAAAAATGGTTAGCTCACTCAAAACATGTTTTCACTTCTAATAAACCAGGCACAAGGCCAAGAAACCAAGAAGTGCTGGTGTTAATAGGCAGGAAAGTTAAAGAAGCCATTCACTGAGAAAAAAATTGATGATTAATTAGTACAAACTTTCCCTTAAAATGCATTTACTTTTGTTCATACTTGAAAGGAAGAGTCTTCCCATCTTTGTACTGTTTTAGAACATCTGTTTTAGAGACAACATTGATTTTAACACATTTGGAATTTATTGGAATAAAAATAAATTTATTTGGAATTTGAACATTTTATTTAGAATGTGAAACATGCCAGAATAGCTGGCCATTTAAAAATACAGTCACTGTTTAATAAACTGTAAAATTTAATTTAAAGGCAATGTTGAGAAACATACAGTGATATTTCTTCTCTTCCTGTGCATCCACTCTAATTTATTTAGCTCTCCCCTGTCCCAGCCACATCTCACGTTCTTTTAATTATCTTAATCACCACACTGCATGAGCTCTCATTTTAATTTGCAGTCTTTTTTCCTCATCCAGGTTCTAGGCCTCTGCAACTACCTCTTCCTCACTCCTTCCTTCCAGCAAGCAAGAAACAAGGAAGAAAAACTTGTTGTTTATATCTTGGAAATATTTCCTCCGCCAGACCTTCTTCTTGCCCACTGCCTTAATTTAGCCCACTTATAATCTCTCACCAAGATAATAGGAATAGCTTTCAGCTGATCTCCTCCTAAATAGTATTTTTCCATTCTTGTGCAATATGCACACAGCCATATCTGATTACTTTCTAGTTTAAATTATTCATTGGATCTCTGTTGCCCTTATGATAAAACTGCTGCTCACTGACATTGAAATTCACAGCTGGCCCCCACTGAGGTCTGGAACCTCACATGCTCCCACCCCCATGCTCCTACCCCTATATAACAAGCAGATGTCTTACCCAAGAGCCTTGAATGCATCTTTCCCTGAATTTGTCATACTGTTTTACAACCAGGTTCTTTATATTATTTACTTCACTTGGCCTAGAAATTCGTTCCCTTTCCTCTGTTCCCTACATACATCTTCTGATTCTTCAAACCCACCATAAATATGACTTCCTGCATGGTTTGATTTTTTCTTCCTCAGTAGAAATTAACTATACTCTCCCTGTAGTCCATAGCACTCTATTCATAGTACTTTCATAACGTTAACAAATATTAACTTCAACATGCTGACAAAAGTACTGTGATCATGATAGATAAACCATACAGAGTGGAAAGAAGAAAGGAAACATAAGCTCTTGATCTGAGTCCTGCTTTGGACTGTGAGTTCACAGAAGATAGCAACCCGGCTTTAGGCATAATTGAACTTTTATCCTTGAAACATGGTGAGTAATCAATAAGCTTTTCTTTAAAAGATGGTCTCCCTAAAAATAATTTAATTACTAACCTTTATCAATGTTTTGACTTTGGATTTCACGTTCTCCTATTTGTCTCCAATCATTGAATGTGTCCAAGCCTAGTCTGCCCAATAGGAAGACTAACTTCCTAGGGACAAGGCACTCAAAACAGTCATACTAAATTAAAGAATAATCTTAAACTTAATAAACTACTCTTACCTTAAAATTTGTTTCCTGAATGGAATTTTTTAGTATTTCTGTATAAACAGTAAAAATTGATACCATCTGTTGTGTGGTCATTATACAGATTACTGAAATGTGATTTGAATATGTTAATAATTTGGGGGATTTTTCCCACAAAGATGATGCATAATGTTGATGAGTATCATAGAACTGAAACAACAAATTGAAATAGCTCCTATTTAAATTTATAGCAGAAATCCCATTAGTTATGGGATTTAATTAGTCATTAGTTATGACTCTCATTGGTTATGTATTAATCAAGAAAAAGGAAGCCAAAAAACCTTAGCCATTTTAGAATTTCTGATGTTACCATTATTTATAACAGTTTTAACATTTGAATAAAATATTATCACTCTGTCTATGCTTTTTGTTTAACACAAACAAATGCTTGTTTTTTTGTTTTTTTGTTTTTTTTTTAATAATGTAAGACCAGATCATTTCTATTCTTCTATGAATCATCTTTGAGGGGCATTTATATGTTTCGGAAACAGCACCAAATATCTAAATTTATTAACCTGCAAGAAGATCTATGAAATGGGTTTTATTGTCCCTATTTTATATATGAGAAAACTGAATGTCACAATATTCAGTATATTAACATTCATGTAAGCTCCTGACTTCAGTGAATTACCTGTGACTCCACTATAGCTATTGTCCTCCCATCCACAGATACTCATTGTATTCTCTCTATGTGAGTCTCTACTATTCTGTCGAAATTCACTGCAGAAAGTGAGGGTAGTCTGACTCCTTCTTAAATACAGTGGCAAAAAATCATCCTATTTTCATCCCTGCCTTTTTTACCAGTTGCCAATCATTTCTGAAAAATGAGGTTGCCTCTTGCTTTTCTCACTGCCAGTTTAAGATCCAGCTCCCTTGGGTCTGTAAGTCAGCTTTTAGCTTTTAAAATATTGCTTTTATCTCTTTTTCTTTTCTCTATCTCTTCTCCTCTCTCTCCCCACCCCCATTCCTCCCTCTTAAATATTTTATTGTGAAACATACTCACCAAAAAAGTGAATACAACATATATACAGTACATATACCAGGGTTGGGGAACCTGCGGCCTTAAGGCCACATGTGGCCTTCTAGGTCCTTAAGTGCAAGCTTTAGACTGAATCCAAATTTTACAGGACAAATCTTTTTATTTTTATTAATACATTTTGGTTCATCTTTTATATTTTCATTTTATTTTCAAAAGGAACATATTTAGAATACCAAAGAATAAAATAAGTTTCAACACAATAATCTTCCCAGATTGACCCACACAATTAGAACATTAGTAAGCCATACGGGCTAAATTGACAGCTGCTATGGTCATGATTCAGTTCTAACTTCCCCCACCTGACTAGCACCACTATAGGAGGCTGGTTGGTGAGAATTTATGGGGGTTGAATACGCCAGTCTGTTATCAGCTTTGATAATGGTGCACTGTGTTTCCACTTCTGTTTGAAGTGGAATCTGTGAATAGTTGCACAACTCGTCAGTATTTTTTAATTCTGTCTGCTTAATAGCCCATCATGTCAAAGAAGACCAAGAGAATGCTGAAGGAAGAAAACAGATTTTTTTAATGAGGATTGGGGATTGCAGTATTATCTTATTTCTGCTAAAGATAAGATGATTTGCTTGTTTTGTGATGCTATAATATTGGCATTAAAGAAATTCAGTGCTCATCAGCATTTTAACACTCATAAGGACCATGAGTATTTTCAATTCGGGAGAGGCATGAAAGGTTGTATTGCAGAAATTAAAAGATGAAAAGCAAAAAGCAAAGACTATTCTTTCAAGCAGCAATTAAGACATGGAAAAAATGCCACTGAAGCAACTTATAATGTAGCTTATATACTCAGAAAAAAAGGAAAGCCATTTAGTGATGTAGGAATCAT